ACGTCTGGTCAGCCCTCACACGAGACATGCTTGGGCAACACTACACAACACGATGGGAAACTCTGCTTCCTTTACTCACGGCTCCATCTACCTCAAAGCTACATTTGTTTGTTTTGAGATATGTGTTTCAGATATCTATCCACAGTCTATGGCGAGAACGGAATGGGAGACGACACGGCGAGTCACCAACCCCAGCATCCATGCTAGCAAAACTGATCGACAAGAACGTTCGTAACCGGTTGAGCACCTTAATTACGACGGGCTCACCCACTTATGAAGGCGGACTGCGATATTGGTTCCAAACCCATAGTCGCTAGTTTTCCCTTCCTTATATTCCCTCTAAAAAACTCAGATTTTTTCAGCTTGATGTTGCATTTATTGTAAAACCGTCTTTTTTTGGTGAATAAATTTTACATTCATACAAAAAAAAAAAAAAAAAGAAAACTCGGGCAATTATTTTTAGACGGTCCTATTAAAGAAAGTCTTATTGTTCCAGTAAAGGACAATGATTTTTTCATTTGAGTCACTTCCAGTATTTACTTTGTGTAATAGTTCTGAGATATGATTTAGTAGGTTTATCCGGTACAATTAGACTTTCGACATAACAAACAAAATCTCTTAACAATACTTGTTGAGTTAGCAGCAAATTCATCAAAATATTTCATTGATAATCAAAATCTGGACTTGATACAAGAGTTGCTACAACTGTTGCGAGAACGGATTGAAAAATTATTGACACTAGAAGAGAAATGGTTTGAACAATTTGTGATATAATGAATGTTGTTTTTTAGGATAAAGGGTGTGTCTTCTTTTATAAACAGATTTGGAGGTACTTGAAAAAAAATTATTTTGTTCTCTGGTCAATTTTGTACGCCGCTCTTTGATATAGAGGTATGATAGTCCTTAGCGTTGTGTCTAGCAGTATTGCTTCATTGTTGTAACCCGGGGGACTGACAGTACATTCGAGGTTGGGTATACCACTTAACCCTAATGAATCCACTACTACCTACTCGATAAAGAGATATTCTCATCTTGTATATTTGATTAGATTAGCTAGACTCATAATATGGGACGAAATCCCGATGATGAGCAAGTAATGCTTTGAAAGATTTGATCGTATCATGCGTGATATAATAAGACATTTTTGATCGTAGCATGCGTGTCAGATCTACACCCTTCAGTGCTCCCTTTTAAAATCAAAGTAAAGATACTTAGTAGGTTTAAGTGTTATTCGATCTTTGACGATACGTTCCAACTCATACTGGTAGATATAGAGGTTATAAAAATATTTGGTTCTTCTAATAAAATTAATTGTTTCCTGAAAGAATGCTATACCTTTAACAATTTTATTTTGTTTGTTAGAGTCACATGTTAGAGTCACAAGATACATACTATAATCGATAGAGAGTATTAACGTCGTCGTGAATTCAGGTTTGTCCAAGGACGATGGATACATGGCCGGCCCTGGAGACAGCAATAAGAAACTTTTGCTGTGGCCCAATTTTTTTTTCTGAAATTCTTCAACAAAAATTATATACAGAACGAACCCAATTTTATTTATTTTTACGATAATTGGCCCTAAATTTTAAAATCTTTCAAACTAACCTAAAACTTTTTCTTTTTTTGAGTATTTGGCCCTTCACATCTCAGGGCCTGTCCTGGATGGATAACACTTATAGATTTTGATTTATATCATGTTATCGGTTCTCTTAGGCCTACTTTTCATGACTTTAAAATTCATTGGAATTTATCGACATTTGTTTCACATATACCTTCATTGGGTATAGATGATTACTTCGCGTTCGCATCTTTTAGGAAAACTGATATTTAGTTTTGAGTATGTTTATTTTCCTGGTCCCATAATATATTTTGTTTGGATATTCTATTCTTTGCATTGTTATGGTTTGATCTATTAATTTAAATAATTATAGTTGATTGGTTGTGTCGTGAGTGTTGGCAATATTGAAGACGGAGAACCATGAATAAAGTGTGGGATCAAATTTATGTGGAATTAGAAGATGGATTGTAAGTTATTAATTTAATCAAAATTAGATTTGTTATAGTTTAATTTGGGTATTATCCTAAAAACTTATTTTTATAATAAATTTATGTCTACAATGTCTACTACATGGTGGATATAAATTTTTGAGAGAATGGAGTAAATAAACCGCGTGATAATATCACCATATTTATAATGAGATTCGCTAGATTAGAAGTCACTCGAGGTATTCGAATATTATTGTCTTTTCATGTATATATAATTTCTAAATATTTATTAGTAGATCACATTTCTATGATATTGTTTCAGATGGTTTAATGGCTACTACTGTTTGAAATTGCATCCGAATGATGCTAAACTGTATGTGTGCCAAAAGTTGCATGAATGCGGAGTCGTTTTGTGCTAAGGATATCACGGAAAATTTTATGAGTTATTAAGCATATCTCAGAAAAGGAGCAGGATGTGATCTTCAAACTCCGTTGCAAAAGTGCAAAGATAACACCCATCAAATTGAATTTGTCCCCAAAAAGCCAGTCTTTGACAAGTGGAGATTTATTTAAGTGTCTCAGAAGAGGAAGAGCGTCCGATCCAAGAAAGTAGCTCAGCCCAAGAGCAAAACAACCTTTTTCGAGGATTAAGCCTAGAGAAAACCAAATTCCACATCTGGGAAAAGCTCAGAGGAGCAAGAGGTGATACCGAGACTCCGTTGCAAAAGTGCAAAAACAACACTTGCCCTTAAGAAGCCAGTCTTTGATGAGTGTGCAATTATTTAAGTGACTCTAGAGAGGAAGAGCGTCGGGTCCAAGAAAGTAGGACAGCCCAAGAGCAAAATAACCTTTGTCGAGGACAAAGCCTAGAGAAAACTAAATTCCATACTTAGGAAGAGCTCACAGACAAGCAGGAGGTGATTCCGAGACTCCGTTGCAAAAGTGCAAAGACAACACTCATCGGATTGAATTGGTCTCCAAGAAGCCAGTCTTTGACGAGTCGGCAATTATTTAAGTAACTCTGGAGAGAAAGAGCGTCGGGTCCAAGAAAGTATCTCAACCCAAGAGCAAAACAACCTTTGTTGAGGATAAAGCCTAGCGAAAACTAAATTCCACACCTGGGAAGAGCTCACAGAAGAGCATGAGGTGATCCCGATACTCTGTTGAAAAAGTGCAAAGACAATACTTGCCCTCAAAAGCCAGCCTTTGACCAGTGGGCAATTATTTAAGTGACTCTTGAGAGGAAGAGCGTCCAAGAAAGTAGCTCATCTTAAGAGCAAAACAACCTTTATCGAGGACAAAGCCTAGAGATAACCAAATTCCATACCTGGGAAGAGCTCATCAAGAAGCAGGAGGTGATCCCGAGACTCCGTAAAGCCTAGAGAAAGTCAAATTTCACACTTCGGACGAGCTCAGAAATGAGCAGGAGTTGATCCCGAGATTCCGTTGCAAAAGTGCAAAGACAACGCTCATCGAATTGAATTTGTCCCCAAAAAGCGAGTCTTTGACGAGTGAGCTATTATTTAAATGTCATGAGAGAAAGAGCGTCGGATCCAAGAAAGTAGCTCAGTCCAAAGGCAAAACAACCTTTGTCGAGGAGAATGCCTAGAGAAAACCAAATTCCACACCTCGGAAGAGTTCACAGAGGAGCAGGAGGTGATCACGAGACTCCGTTGCAAAAGTGCAAAGACAACGCTCATCGAATTGAATTTGTCCCCAAAAAGCGAGTCTTTGACGAGTGGGCTATTATTTAAATCTCATGAGAGAAAGAGCGTCAGATCCAAGAAAGTAGCTCAGTCCAAAGGCAAAACAACCTTTGTCGAGGAGAATGCCTAGAGAAAACCAAATTCCACACCTCGGAAGAGTTCGCAGAGGAGCAGGAGGTGATCACGAGACTCCGTTGCAAAAGTGCAAAGACAACGCTCATCGAATTGAATTTGTCCCCAAGAACCGAGTCTTTGACGAGTGGACAATTATTTACATGTTTAATGAGAGAAAGAGCGTCGGGTCCAAGAAAGTAGCTCAGTCCAAGAGCAAAGCAACCTTGTCGAGAAGAATGCCTAGAGAAAACCAAATTCCTCAGAAGAGCTCACAGAGGAGCAGGAGGTGATCCCGAGACTTTGTTGCAATAGTGCAAAGACAATACTCATCAAATTAAATTTGCCCCCAAGAAGACAGTCTTTGACGAGTGGACAATTATTAAAAATAATCTGGAGAAGAAGAGCGTGATATCAAAATTAACGTAAGAGTTTTGACATCAATATCTTTGGGATAATGGAAGGAGTTTCCAAATGAACATAATCTTTAAACTTCAATGTTTTGTAAAAATTGAAGGAATTTGCAAGTTAACATAATATTTAATTTTACAAGATCGTAAATATTATCGATGTTTAGTCTCCATATATATGCCTACAATCTTTAATTTAATACTCCCTCTGTTTCAAAGTATAAGAGGTTTAAAGTAAATGCACACATATTTAGATCTTTTATTTTCTTTTAAAAACATCATTTATAGTTAGTTAAAAAAAAAATAACTAGTCATAATAATGACTGCAAAATATAAATAGTCATAAGTGGTCAAATGCATTTAAATTAATCAAAATTGAAACTTGTAAAACATCTTATAATATGAAACAAAATAAAATCCCTAAAACATCTAATATAATGAAAAGAGGGAGTAATATATTGTTGGTTTAAATATATAGATTTTTTATATTTAATTCTATTATATATATCAAGATATAAACACTAATAATTGTTTGTGATTAAAAAATACTATTAATTGTTGATTACTAATAATATATATCAAAAGTTATAGCGTTTTACTATAATTCTATATTAATGTCGTTATAAAAATTAGACTCACAAAATTAAATCAATAAATATCCCTAACTTGATAACCCTAAATATGGATTACTAATTCTGGTCTTAATCAACATACAACTCCGCGCCCGGCGCGGGGACCTCCCCTAGTATAAATATGAAAAGCAAGTGCAATGTTTTTTTGTGATAAACCATAATAATAATAATAATAATAATAAGTGAGAAATCAAAATCATCGATTCTCCTTTGTTTCGCCTAACCCAATTCCTAAATCTCAGCATCTTTCATCAATCCAATCTCTCAAATAGCGAAAGAGAGAAACAAAGATCATCAAACCCAAATCCAATCCTTGGAGACGAACACATACTCCAATTTTTATCCAATTTGTAAATTTCTCGTCTTTTTTTTTTACCCAATTTTGTATCGAAATCTATTTCTCTGATGGATCTATTGTGTTAACCCTTTTGAAATTTGATAGATATGGTTTTGAGGATTGATATATTTGCCGCTGATTGTCGTTGAAAAATTGTGAAATTTGATTTGGGTTTAGGGTTAAAATTAATTTATATGATGTGGAATATAAGAATCTGAATTTTTTGATTAGATTCTCCAGATTTTGTTACTTGATTTTGGGTTGTTGTTGTTTTTTGAAGTTTTGGGGATTTAAAGTTGAAAAGTTTTCTAAATTAAGCCAAAACAGTCTTCTTCATCTATGGTTTTGTATTGAACTGATGATGTAGATAAATCTTGGCTTGTGTTTATTGTAGTGGAAGATTGGATTTTTATTTCTGGTTATTGGTTTTAAGATTCTAGTTTATTATGATGATGCCACTAGTTACATGATTACTAACTTGACAGTGGTTTATATGAACATAAGTGTGGATTTACGATGTGTTAACGAATAGCGGTATGCGATTATTTTCTTAAATTTTGATTGCTACTTCTCTTTTTTGGGGTTGTTGTGCAGGTTTTAGGACATTTGGGTTGCCCTCTGGCTTAACGAATAGTGGTTTAGTTATTTATGCTGAATTTGGTGTCATTCGGATTCTCAGAGGATTATCTGTTTGGTACTGTTTGGTTCGTTGGTGTTTTCATTTGATCTGCATCTTAAAGTTTAAAGTTCGGCGCTGAAATAGTAAGAAAGTAGATTTTCAAAAGGCTGCTAATAAGATTGCTCCCTTTCGGTAAGTTTGTTTTCAGCTAACTATCTCTCTTTGTGAAGTTAACTATTTGTTGCTTCGTTTGATGTGTAAAGATTCTTCCTTTATGCTTAGTTTCTGTGACGTGAGAATTATATTTAGTGTACATACGATTTTGGTCTTCATAGGTTCTTGATTTGTTTTTGCTGCTACATGATTGATTTGAGATTAAGCAATGTTTTTGGTCTTACAATTTTCCCTTTTTGGCAAAACCGTAGTATTTTTAAACCTCATTCAGTGTTTCTAACTTTCTCGATGCGTGAGTAGCTTACACAGTGCTTAACAAGATGGCTGGTGTAAAGCGAAAATTAAGTACCGAGTCAGATGTTCATGCTCTTCACAAAGAACTGGATGAGGTTTCATGTCCTGTTTGCATGGATCACCCACATAATGCTGTTCTACTGCTGTGCAGCTCTCATGACAAAGGTTGCAGGTCCTACATCTGCGATACCAGTTACCGACATTCCAATTGCCTCGACCGGTTTAAGAAATTGCATTCTGAATCCCCAAATGACCCTACTCCCGAGGGGAACTTGGCTTCAAGGGAAAATAATAACGAATCTCTAAACGAGCATGGTACAGCCAGTCGAAGCAGTTTTCACCGTGAGTCTACAAACCGAGGCTCTGCTTGGGATTCCGAATCACTGAGGAGGAGGAGGAGAGTGGATGAAGAAGAGCAGTCAGAAGATATCACAAATTTGAAATGTCCTCTTTGCCGGGGTACTGTTTTAGGATGGAAGGTTGTAGAAGAAGTAAGAACATATCTTGATCTTAAGAACCGAAGTTGCTCCCGAGAATCCTGTTCATTTACTGGAAACTACCAGGATCTGCGCCGTCATGCCAGAAGGACACACCCAACAACTCGTCCTTCTGATACTGATCCATCAAGAGAGAGAGCTTGGAGGCATCTTGAGAACCAGAGGGAGTATGGAGATATAGTCAGTGCAATCCGTTCTGCCATGCCCGGTGCTGTTGTAGTAGGGGACTATGTTATAGAAAACGGAGATAGGTTCTCAGGTGAGAGGGAAACGGGAAATGGTGGGAGCGACCTTTGGACCACTTTAGTATTGTTTCAGATGATTGGTTCTCTTGACAATGGAGGTTCTAGCGCTAGTGGCAGTGGTGGCGGTTCAAGATCCCACAGGTCAAGGGCATGGAGGAATCATCGACGTTCGTCTTCAGATAGACGATATCTTTGGGGGGAGAATCTATTAGGTCTACAAGAAGAACACAATAACAACGATGATGAAGAGTTGCATATGCAGAACGATGCAGGCGGTGCTTCTACTCCTGTTCCAAGAAGAAGACGGAGATTCGGACGTCCTAGATCAAGCGGAAATCATCCGCGATAAACCGAATCATCCGCGATAAACCGAATCATCCGGTAAAATTCAATATGAATCATTGGGTTTTGGTTGTAGAAACCTTTGCGATTACTGAAAAAAACTGGTTTTGTCTTTAGGTGCTATCGATATCTCTCGGGTCAGAACCAGGCCGATGCAAAGGGAAAGGTTTTGCTGAAAACCCGAGAGCCTTAGGATTGTTTGGTGTTTATGTAAATGTCATTTTGAGCCTCGTTAAGTCGCTCATTGTATACTACTAAGTATGGCTTTTTATGCAATGTCTTCTGTTAATTAACTCGTGGATTATTTTCTTTTATCTAGGAAATTGTAGTTGGGTTTCTTTTAACCACGCATATATCTATGTAATCCTTTTGTTGAAGCCCTTTTTGACAAAGATTTAGTGCGTGCTTATACTATTTGCAAATGTATTCAAGTGGTCTTTCAACGAGTACTATAACACATGAGTCAAAAAAACAAGCCACGATATTAGTCAGATGTCATAATTGTGACTTGGGACCATCAAACCATAAGACTATGATTGTACTTGAAGCATGTAGAGAGGGTCGAGATGAGGCCACGTTTGATAAATGACAAGCGGGCATGAACCATAACACGTTCGATCTCGCAGAGTTCAGCGACGGCATTGGAATTGAAGTCGATATTGAAAGGTAGATTGTCTCCTCCACACAAAATTAGTAAACAAGAACCAAAAGCCACACACTTAGAATGGTAAAGAGTAATATTGTAATAATAAGGGTGAGTTAGCTCATAGGTAAAAACAAAGAGGCAAATTAGCGCAGAGGTAAATGGCTGTCTTGTCTCCAAGTAACGGAAAATCAGCTTCACTTCTCGCCTTCTCATTTGCAATAATAACGAAAAAACCAGTGGCTTACGTATCCATGCGAGTGAGATAACATTGTTGACTTTTTTGGCAAAAAGGACGAAGCGACATCTCTGAGGGGGACGTGACAGTTACGCGGCAACAGAAAAAAGGAGGCGACGTCAATTTAATGCAAACATGCAGACTGTCTAAGTAGATCTGTGGATATCTACAATAGAACAATAGATGCTTGGCAAATATACATGAAGGAGGCGACTTCTATTTAATACAAACATGCAGATTGTCTAAGTAGATCTGTAGATATCTACAATAGAACAACAGATGCTTGGCAAATATACATGAAGGAGGCGACTTCTATTTAATACAAACCTGCAGATTGTCTAAGTAGATCTGTGGATATCTAAAATAGAACAACAAATGCTTGACATATATACATGAATAGATACATATCTAAGTAGGTCTAAGTAGATTTGTGGATATCTAAAACAAACAATAGATGCTTGACAAAATATACATGAATAAATATAGATCTACAGGGGAAGTTGAATATCTAAACTTAAATCTTTACTTGAAAAAAAAATTGAACAGTAAGTTATGTATTAACATTAAGTGAAAATAAAGAGAATAAATAGATGTCTACAAAAAAAAGATGCACATCAAAATACAGATTTATAAATTAGAGATGTGAATCTAAGTAGATCTATGGATCTAAGTAGATATGTAGATATCTACAATATAACAATAGATGTTTGGCAAATATACATATACATGCATATTTGTCTCGGAAGAAACAAAAAAAATTGTTGCGTTTCTTTTAACGCGTGAGGCTAAAAACGGAAAGATGATGGGCTAATGTTGCTATTGTTTTAAACTCCGACAAGATTTTATCAAAAACTAATTTAAGTCCAGATCTATACTTCTGAGCTAGTTAACTCTAATAATAATTTGGATACAAGTTGTTTATATTGGACTATTTAGTTATCATTAACTTTTAATACTATTTGTTAATTCTGTAATTATCATTTTTTGTTTTGTTTTGTGGATTCTTTAGTACTAATATCTTGTTACTAAAAATGTTCCATGTGACTCTTGCATGTTCTCCAATACCCTTTTATATATATATATATATATATTCCAATAACTCTTGATTAAGCAGACAACATCCGGTCATTTTGTGAGTAACAGAGTAACCCATTTTGTGAGTAACCCATTTTTGTTTTGATTACACATTCTTAAGACGAAATTTCCTTTGTTCTTCAATTCTTTCTCTCTCGTCTCTTTATTATTCATTATCTCGATCCTTCTGCGGGTATAAAATTTTTTCTATTATTTATATTTATATTCACTATAAAACAAAACACTTAATTATAACAAATATCTTATTGTTATGTTAACTTTTCTTTTTTGCTTTTGATTATTTTTGATATGTTAACATTTTTAGTTATGTCAATTGTCAACATTGATTGCCAAATCGTGGAGATAAGGAAATTAGGACTTGTATATATACAAATTAACATTTTTCCAGTGTTTTCACGCCCGACCCGGACCGCCCGGTCCGACCGGTTAACCCACGACCCAAGCACTTTTTCGGTTTGGGTTTAGTGCTAATACCCACCAATTTCAAAACCGGAAAAACCCACAAAAACCCGCCATTAACCCGCGACCCAGTGAACCGGTTGAACCGGCTGGGTATGGATTTTGAAAATGTCATTTGATTTTGGAATAAAATATAGAGTTTTAGACTCTATTTAGTTATTTAAATTAAAAAATTTAGTTCTTAGACTCATTTTGTTTTAGATTTTGTATGAAACTTTACAGTACCGTCTAAAGAGAAGGAATGTAATGTTGAAAGAAATAATCGAGATTAGTTATTTTGAATTCGCGATGTTTTATTAGTTTATTTCTGTTATTGGCTATTTCCTACTATTTTAATATTTGTTACGGTTTTAGACTTTTACTTGGATTTAAATTTTTTTAATTTGAATAACTTTAGTTTTATTGTTAGACTTCATATTTTGTAAATATAGTATGAATATTTTAATTTTTATATTTATAAAAACTATATAATCTCTATAAATATTAAATATATTAAATAAATTTTAATCAATTGATCCGTGGTCGAACCCGGTTGACCCAATGACCCAGTGACCCAGAAGATAGTCCGGTTCAGTGTCTGGGTCGGGTTTAAAAAAATGATTTTTCCCTAAGAACCTTGGTAAAAAGACACAAGAAAAAAACATAGAAAGAACAAGTTTTGGTGTGGTGACTCGTGAATAAACAATATGGAGTTCGTTATTCCGATGATACTCCTAGTTTCCGTACTGTTAGGCGTTGTGTTTGTCTCACTCATGCTTATTGTTTGGATTTTCTTTGCCCGCAAGCAAGCACGAGAGAACTCCATTTTTTTTTATGTCCCACATATATAGTTATTTCGCCATTTAACAATTATGTTATTTTTTTGTCTTGTTCTTTAGATTCAATGGTATTGTAACCCTCTTAAATGTTTTATCAATGATTTTATCATTGTGTTCTGAAATCTATAGATTTGTTTGTTACTTCTCTCAATCACAGTATCATCTCTCAATCACAGTATCATAAACTCTAAAATCCGCTCGATACACGAATGCGGGAGATGGCTCCTCACCAGAGCCGTCCCAGAGTATAAATCGGCCGCAAGCCGAAAAGATCGGCTCTGCTCCTCGCATGATCTCTTACATATCAAAACCATCGTGCCACGCCACGATTAGCTATGGTAACTGAAATGTATCCCCAGATTAACTTGAGTAACAACAACTAGTATAGTAGAATGACCTTACACATGTACTCATCATGCTTTAAATGATCCGGAGATTTCTAATCTATACTATATAAAAGTCGAAGCTATAAGCTCCTTAGACCGTCCACATAGGATTTAAAACGACCAATCGAGATAAGACATCTCGCTAATTAATATTTTTTAACCATTAAGTTAATAGACATTTTTAAATTCGAATATTTTCTATATTAAGATATAAAAAAGAAAGAAAAAAACAACAAATATATGTAAATAAGAAAAATATAAAATTACGGTTACTAGACATATGGAAATATGTTGATAATAAAAGAGAAAATTTTCTAACTTTTAAATGCCAGATTATCGATTTTAAAAGACCAATTACGATTAGCCATCTTGCTAAAATCTGTTGATAATTAAAAAAAAAACAAAATTCCTAAGTTTCAAATGCAGATTATCTCAATTTTAAACCAATTGCGATTAGCCATCTTGCTAAAATTATTCCTAAGTTTCAAATGCAGATTATCTCAATTTTAAACAACCAATTGCGATTAGCCATCTTGCTAAAAAATTAAATTCTAATATTTTTATACAATGATATTTATAAAAAAAAATGGCAAATGTGTCAATTTACCTTTTTAATTAATAAAATTATATTCTTATTCTTATTTTTTTAATCTTCTTATTTTCCAAAAAAAAAAGAATATTAACAAAAGATATATTTTGTTAATCCTAAATCTTTTCAATATAAATAAGTCAATTTACCTTTCTAATTAATAAACTTATATTCCTATTCTTATTTTCTTAATCTTCTTACTTTCCAACAAAAAAAAAGAATATTAACAAAAATATATATTCTGTTAATCCTAGATTTTTTAATATAAATAATAAGCAGAAACATCCTACTCGATCATAGTTTTTTAATTTGAAAATTTCTAACCGTTGGTCACAATTAGGGTTGGTTACTACTTATAATTAGAGAAAAAATGCAACGATTCTGGTCTTGGAGGTTGCAAGAGGTTTGGTGAGAACAAGTTGTGTGGTATTCTAATAAATTATTTTGAAATGTTATTTAGTGGTTATGATGAATGCATCATCAATTGCTTGTGCCTGAAAAATAACACGGGATAATAAATCTAAGGAAGTGGTGGTAGCAGGAGAAGTTGAGGAACATACATGTAACACCGTGCAAGGAAGCTCTCTTGGTAAAGATGTTTAGGCCAATATAGTGAAAATTATTTACGTTAAACTGCAAGTAGAGGCATATATGTCTAATGAGGTAACTTCTTTTTTGGTTCTTATTTAAAACTCATGTTGTATATACTTCAGTTGGACGATATCTAGCCGAGCAAATGGTATGTGTATTTGTGTTGAAATTGTGAAAAGTTATTCTTCTCGGAGTAATATTTCAATCAAGAACGAAATATAATCAAGAACAAAATAACGTGGGAAAGATAAATTTAATTGATGAGAATTTCTTTGCAGTATGAACAATTAATGTCATAATCTAGGTAACAAAGAGGGTTGCTTTCCATGTAAAAAATGAAGGAGATCGAGAGAAACGCGAATAGACTCGGGACAAGACAGAGATAAATAGAGAGAGAGTCATTGTTTTTAGGGAGAAGAGGCCTAATTGTGACATCACAAGGCAAACTTGAATTATTTGATAAGGAAAAGAAAAGTGAAAAAACAGTTTAACATGATCTCTTTAAGGTAACATTTGGTTCATATGTAGCTAAAACTTGATGACGAGGTTTCTGGTATTACTATCTTGAGGTTGAATGGTGAGGAGTATTATGGGGACGTGGAACTTAGTTCTGGTAGAAGGACATCGAATTTTGGAGTTCAGAAGGTCAAATGAACGAGTTGTTTCGGGTAGTCAATTTATAGACTTATGGAGCTATGTATGGGTACGTTAGTAAGTTTGAATTTCTTACTCTGTTTTTAACTAATGTTTTACAGAGAAGAAGAAAGAAAGTGAGAAAGAGGAAGAAGAACGAAAGTGAGGAAGGAAGAAGAAGAGTATTATGAAAAAGAGGGCGTTGACAATGAAGATGATGAAAGTGGAATACAAGAGTAAGAAAAAAATAAATGTGAAGAGAAATACGAAGACTTAGGTGTTGGCGGCCAATTGAATATGAGAAAACAAGATTGATTCATGATTTTTTGTTATCAGATTTGATTCTTAAAACTATTGATTTTCTGAAATTTTCATATCTTTAGTCTCCAGAATAGGATAAACAAGAACATTCATGTGCTAACATTGGTGATAATCTTCCACAAATTCCAGAAGAGACAAGAAAAACTCGAATTTGGATACAAAACCTAGGGAAAGTCAGACTATTGAGGTTGAAGCTCTGAACCAAGTTCGATGCAATGAGACAGAGACCGAAAGTAAATCCGTGAGTACTCGAGTAGCGAGAGGTAAGTGAAAAACAGCTCTCAAACCTGATTTCATTGGTGGAAGACTAAGGCACATCCGAGAGAGCCAAAATAGGCTTTAGAAGAAGTTTTTGAAGAAAATGTAACTTCTTTTAATTGTTAAGCTAAACTGTTAAGAAAATGTACTTTATATTTTATATTTATGTTATAATTTTTTTAATTATGTATGTGAAATTAAATATTTGCCTTCATAGTAATTTAAAAGTTTTAGAGACCAAAACATTATAATTTTATAAGATAATATTTAATAACTACAATTAATCACATAAAATTTATATCAAAATATATCAAATAAATCCACGCTACGCGTGGGTTCAAAACCTAGTTAAAACAAAAATAAAGGGTTAGCTTGAAGGACCCTATGAAATTAAATGACATAGCTTACAAGTGTGTGGCTGCGAGTAATGGCAACAAAGCCTTGAAACAAAGTGACATCTACTGAGCTAAAAACCACAACCCAAAGTGACATGTGTGTATGTATAAAAACCAACTTTGATACAATCCCACGTTGTGTTTCCGTATAAAGTCCAAAATAGCTTGAGTCAAACAAATTATTATACACTTATATATCTTCTTTAGTTTCCCAAGTCATCTCTTGTCTTCATCTTCTAATCCAAAGTCTCTAATCATTTGTGTAAGGGAGAATTTTGTTTGACATAAGCGAATAATTACACAAGCGATCTATACTATATTATACCAAAAAAAAGCATCTTCAGCCAGAACATGGAGGTTAGTCATCGTCACATGTGCTCCATATCATTTACATGTGTTCCTAACACAAAAGGACTATATTTATAAGAGTTTAATCTTTTTGTGGGTTTTGACCAGATCTTTCAATGGCTCTTCAAGTTAGGGAGATCAGAGCCCAGTTCAATCAATTGTACTGATCATGAACCCACCACAACTCTAACAAGTAAGTAACAAATATTTCTTGATCCTTATTATTATTAGAAAAGTTGACATTTGTGTATATGTTTTCTGGTTATGTAGGTTTCCTATTCTTGTAGTTTTAATAAACATTTTGTTTTCTGACAGAACCATTTAATAAATGTGATCCAGAGTGCACAGATCACAGAACAAGAAGATCATCTACAAGAGGGTCTAAACATAAAAACCAGAGGAGTTATAGAGGAATCTGGCTATGGTGTAGAAAAGACGTAGCCAAGGCTTGTTTCTCTAGCACACTGACTTTAAGAAGACTTAATAGCTTTAGGAGAGGACATTTACTTGGCTCCATGGCAAAGATAAAAGCACAAGGAGGAGAAGAGCAAGTGACATCGACAAGGTTTGATCTGAAAAAGGCTATAAAAGTCTTCAAACCGGAGAAACAAGACGAAACCAATAAAGAGAAGTCGAAAAGCGAGCATAGCAAAGGTAAGGCCACACTTTTAAGAATGAAGGAGCTCATCAAATGGGCTGCAGCAGCCAAATCCGACAAAGCTGTCAAATTCTTTACCCCTAAGGTGTGTTTTTTTTCTTAATAGCTCAAAACCATTAGACAAACTCAAATTTTGCTGTAACCATTGTTCTTAATGTGACATATATAATGTTGCAGATAATGATGGAGTTGAGAAACCGAAGAAAGTTGAAGATGATGAGAGAGGTGAATGAAGAAGAATCAACAAAAAGGATGAGTAGTGTATCTGCAAATATAAGTTTGAGATGGGAGAGTAGTGAGAGTTGCACAACAATCTCTTCCTCTGATCACATCTCTATAGTTTCTTCACCAGCAATCCTTGTTTCCTTGAGTCCTACGCCACTCCACCGATGTAGATCCAGGAAATACAACTGGATCACTACTGATTCTGAATGTAAGACCAATAATATTTTGAATTTTCCTATAATTTTCTTTTTTCACAAGCCAATATTTTTATAATATTTAAATCATCACAGTAATTAATTTCAAAATCTGATCGGCAACATAATGAATATATAATTGTGTATATTTTCTCATGGCAGCTAGTGCTAATAAAATGTTATGATTGTTGTTAGTGTTTATTTTTCTAATTTGTTTTATGTATTTTGGATTTTGTAGTTGTGGTGTTAGAGTTATGAAGAGAAGTTATAGGTGTGGTGGATGAAGACAACGACAAGGACAATCAATTGATTCTCATCGCTGGACAATTTTTGAAAGAGTTAATTTGGGTAAAAGTCAAATGCCATTTGTAATTAATTTATAACCAATTTTTTCGGTGATTTCAATTTCCTTTGTATTTTTATGTAATTCATATGATAAAACTTACCAAAATTACTTCTTTTTTTTTCTTCCTTTAAAGTTTAACTTGGTATATCGATTTAGATTGCCACCAGTAAAATGAGGTAACGTTAACGTACCTAAACACTGAAGAATTTATATATACATCAAACCAAAAAGAAAAAAATACTGGCGAATATTGAAAAAAAAAACTGGTTTGTGGGATGTTTAGGTGTAAGATTCAGTCCAAAACTATAATAGTAAATTTAGTTTGACTTTAATACATAGTCGACGGTTACAATCGTGTTATTTGGTCGTATGGTTTGCGACATACAATATTGTATGATCACAATTGTTCCGATTTTGAAAATGAGGATTTAACCGAGTATCGAAACTAGGTAAAAGTAAAATAATAGAGCTTCCTACGAAGATTGAGAGTTAGAATTCTTTACAAAAAAAATCGTTAAATGGTAAACGAATGGAAATTAAAACCAGTTTGATGATTCTAAAGTGAACTCTGAATTTAGCTTCATCAAATCTTTAGTGTTCATCATATAACATGATTTCGGTAGATCACGTCATGTTAGTATCTAAAACAATGTTTTACGCGATTTTTGGAAACTAATTTACTAGTTTAATCCGTTTCTAAAAATTCTAAAATTCTAGAATACCCTCCCATTGATTTATATGAGATTACCAAAAATGTTTCAACAATTTTAAAACAGACAAAAATGATGGTTATGGATCGGATCATTTGATGGGTTTGAAATGGAATGTAAACCAAGATTTTTTTTGGGAACTTCATCATGAGCCATGTTTAAGTCCATTCAGAAACCCCAAAACTCCTCACCTTATGTGTGTTCTCTTATTGAGAAGAGAATCAGGACAAGTGACAAATAGAAAAATTGTAACATCTCTTTCTCATTTAAATGATGCCGCATACAATTCACTGGTACTTACCATTCAAAGATGCAGAGACATTAATACACATTCTTCATTAATTCAGTACTTAAAAATACAACTGAATATATCAAAGCATAGAAATACATAAACATAATTTTTAAACCTCGAAAGCTAACAAGAAAAGACACATCAAAATCTACTGTTATAAAATGATCATTAAGTAGCTAGGGAAGATGTTTATTCGTGTAGTTAGTTTGTGATAGAGTAGTATCATACATATGGATTTTATGTAAGGTTATGACTTATGAGATCCTAAAATGAAAACCTCCAAACATAATATCTTTTGATTTTTCCTTCAACCACCTCGTGGATAGATCTTCAACCAACTCCAGTGGACCCATTGAAACTTTTTCATCCAACTCTCTCTATGTTTCCCCAAAAATAGAGATACAAATAAATTTTGATTTTTTTTCCTAAAAATAGAAAACACAATGATTCAAGTAAGCCATTTTAAAAAATTATATTTGGGACGTCAACTACATTGTCAAAAAATTTTGGATTTTAATCATCATTAAAATAACTATTCAATCCTTTTTTAAAACTCAAACTCAGAAAAAAGTTTAATAAAATAATTAAAGCTGTTTTTAAGTAAAACTACTAGAAATTTACTTATTTTTGCAATTTTTCAAAATATAAAAGCTTATGTAATATATCTGAATAATTATTTTTCTGTCTAAAAGTTTTGTTTAGGACTTTCTGCATAAATAAATAAATATATATATATATATATATTACATTTTATTTTTGCCTTTGCAAAATACAACTATATTTTCAAAAATGACCTGTAAAATTGCATTTTTATTTGCAAGAAACAAACTTTTGTATACTACCTTCGTAATTACTATTTGATGTTAATAAAGTTGTTTGACGCCCTGTTCTAAAAATCTCCGCCTAGCCCGATTAATCCCCGTTTAATCGCTAGGCTCACCCTCTCCGTCTCGATTAATGACTAATCCCTTAAAAAAAAATCAGTCACCCGATTATTCTCCGATTAATTCCCGCATAATCCGATTATTTTCTGTCTTTTCTTACATATCCCTATTATTTTTTATTGCAAGTATAAAACAATTTTTTTTTGTTATTCAAACATTTGAATTGGAAGTTTTTGATATTTTACAATAATTTATGTTCAAATTTTAATAAAAATCTTAAATTTTTAATACAAAATCATAAAAATTTACCTTAATATATTTTTATGTATTTACTACAATTTTGAAAACAACATTAGATTAATATATCTTTAAAATATTAAAATAACCCTAAAACTAATCCCCGATTAATCTCCGATTTTAATCCAATTTTCCGATTAATCGCTAGTACCGAACGTCCCTAACGTCCCATTTTTCAAACACTGGTTTGACGTTTAAAAAAAAAAAAAAACATTTCCAAAAATATCGCGAATTCCCGGTCACACATTCTCCACCATTGCACTTTTCACGCTCTCTCTCTCTGTCTTTCTTCTTCTTCTTCCTTCTTCTTCAATCTTCAGATCAAAATCAAAATCATCAACAACAAAAATGTCAGACAACAATCCAGAAATCGAATCATCAACCTTCAACACTCTAAACCACGACGTCACTGAATCAATCCTCTCCCATCTCCCAATCCCTTCCTTAGTCCGTTTCACTCTCGTCTCCAAACAATGGCGTTCCATAATCACCTCTCTTCCTCCTTCTCCTTCTCCATCGTCATCATCACCACCATGGCTCTTCCTCTTCGGTATCCACAACACTTCCTCTTTCCACAACCAATCCTTCGCTTTCGATCCTCTCTCCAACACTTGGCTCCGCCTCCCTCCTTCCTCTTCCTCATCCGATCATCTCGTCGGATCTAACCGCTTCCTCTTCACCACCGCTCCTCGATTCTCCTTCTCACCGATCCTTAAACCTAATTGGCGATTCACTTCCCCTGTTCTGTTTCCTCGAATCAATCCTCTCTTAAGCGTTTTCACAACTCTCTCTAACTCCTCTAAGCTAATCCTCGTTGGTGGATCTTCGCGTATCGGCGGATTAGTCGATATCGAGGAACGGTTAGCTGTTCAGGTTTACGATCCTGTTCTTGATTCATGGGAGCTTTGTTCACCACTTCCTGCTGATTTTAGATCTGGTCAAGATCATCAAACTTTAACTTCAGCTTTGTTTAAGAGAAGATTCTACGTTTTCGATAACTATTCGTATTTTATCTCGTCGTTTTGCTTGGATTCTTATACATGGAGTGATGTTCAAACACTTAAACCACCTGGACTCTCGTTTGCGTTCTTGAATTCTTGTAATGGTATGCTTGTTCTTGGTGGAATGTGCGGGTTTTCGTTTAATCTTTGGAGTATCGAAGAAGGTTCGATGGAATTTAGCGAAATCGCGGTTATGCCTGAGGGTTTGTTGTTTGGATTAGTTGATAATGAAGATGAGGAGGAAGAAGATAGTAATAAGTTTAGGAGTTTGAAATGTGTTGGCTCTGGGAATCTTGTTTATGTGTTTAATGATGATTGTCATAAGAAATTTCCAGCTTGTGTTTGTGAGATTGGTGGTGGTGAGAATGGGAAATGTAGTTGGAGAAGAGTTCCTTGTTTGCCTTCTCCGGTTAATAAGTTTCATAAAGTTGTTAGTTTCTGCTCAACGGTATCTATTAGCGATGTTTTCCACCCCGAGGATGCTCATATTGGTGGTTGAGTTTGCTTACTTATGTCACTGGTATGATCATCCACACCCTTATCTTTCATTATAATTGCGCTTGTTAGGAGAGTTTACACTGGTATTAGATGAGACTTTCTTCTTGCATAGGCTTTGTTGTTTTGGTGATGGTAAAAGGATAATGAACATTCTGCGGTTAGTTTCACTAGGGCGTATATTTAGAAACCGAATGCATATGAATCTTCGTGCTGCGGGTCAGATATTTAGAATCCATTACTTTTCTTACCATCATGGGCCCAGAATCTCTTGTGCCAAAGGCAAAGATTGAATATTGATAGGTTTTATATTCAAACCAGAGCGTGTAGCTGTAGCTTAGTGTTCTTTGTACGGTTTCTGTGTACTAATGTCTTTGCATTTTGTGACTTGGCAGTGATAATGTAAAGTGGAGATGAAGGGAGAAGATAAATAATGAAGTGTATAAAGATGGTTATCAATTTATCATGGTAATTAGGTGTAAACTGGGTTATAATTCTTCGTTTAAATGTAATGTTAGTTCTTTGTTTCTACTGTTTTATTTGTTTAAAATAAGATACTGAGATGATTCCTGAAGATATGTGTGTATTCTACTGAATCATTTACGTACATACACATGTCTACTGAATCGTTAAGTATTGTTGATTTTTTGGTATAAGTGAGTGTGTTTTCACAATCTCTTGTACCAAAGCATACTAACATTGATACGTTCTAATGAATTATATTAAGTATTGTTGATTTTGGTTTGATGAACATGTAATGAAAATGTTGATTGCAATCGTGCTTAGCAGAGTGCTTCTTAATAAGACTCCCATCTTTGACCAGAGTCTTTGGATGTTAATCGCAATCGTGCCAGAGATAACACCAAAACCCATCGCCACTAGCAAATTCTCCCGAAGATATACAGTTTACGCTTCTTCATCAGTCTTTAAAGCCGATTTAGGCTTTCATAGAAATTAGGGTTAATGCAAGAAGTGGATGAGATTAAAGTACATGTTTAAGAATATATATTTCTCTCAAGTACATGTTTCTTCTCACACCAAAAAGTGTGTCGTTTACAGAGATTTTATAATCAGAATTCATCATTGTAGCTTAAAATCAGAAGATTATTATGATCAAGAATATATATTCTCGTCTAACAAAAACCAACCAACATTATTCCACTGGAACCATAGGAAAAATAATTGGAATGTTTGGTAAATAAGTTATAAAATAGATAGCAAAACATAAAATATCAAGAGTTTGATGATAGATAATGCATACAAAAGTGTGACAATTACAAGTCATATGTTTGGTGCATTCCTTAAGCCTACTCCAAACTAGAGAACTAGATACCTTGTTGGATTTTAAGGAAACTTGGAACATAACTGAGGAGAAATAGGTTATGAGATTCGTATGGAGATTCTACAACATCATGATTCACTTCTATATATTTATCCTCTCCCACGATGTGTATGGTGTTGGAAAAGAAAGAGTTACAATACACTACTTTGTTCTCCTGGTCGATCAAGAAACTGATCATCCCAAAATAACGACGATAGTACATACCGCTTCTCGCTAGTGTTAGGAACTTGGTCCATGACAAGGCTCCGGTATTCTCAATCTTAGTTGCTATCCATACATGTGTTGCTCTATCCAATCAGCAGCTAACATACAAAGTTGTTGCTCTTCTCTAGTCACTGATAAAGCCAAATAATGATAAAGAGTCTTAGCATCTGCCGGAAGAGACAAACATTGGAATGTCTCACTTGTGTAATCAAAACTTAGTAAAAAATTACGCCCATGTTCTTCAGCAAGCCAGTAAGTATTTCCCTTCATAGACATGCCACGTCTGTTCTGACTCTGTGGTATGACCCAGCCGGTAGTCACACCAACAACCCTCCACGAATTAGAGGTAAAATCATAGACTTCGTACTTATATCTAGATTGGAAATCATCGTGGAATCGATACATTCTCAAGATTGTATAACAGGAGGATTTGTTATTGTAACCGAGAGCAAAAATTTCGATAGTCGTGTAGGACTTTCCGGGTTGGATCCACCTGGTTTCACATGAAAGCGGATTACAAACAACAAGTCTATTGTCCTTGGTACCACATAGCAATAAGCAGTGGCGGATCTAGAAACATATATAGTATGGGGCATAATATATTTAAAATATAAATTTTTAATCTAAAATATTATATTTATTGATTAAAAGACATGTAAATGAAGCAAATTCATTTGATGTGTTCAATTGTTGATCAACCATTGATTCTACTACTCTATATAAACATTATTCCTTTAAACAATTAAAAAAAGGTTAGAGAAAAAAATAGATTAAAATATATGAAAAGCATTTATTACCTGAAATCAGTAAAAAGAAAGAAAATAGTAGCTAATTGACTAAAGAATTAGTAGAGGAATATTATATTGTATGTGGCACGATACACCAATTATTCCATCTTTTCTTCAAAGTATATATAACAAAGTTCAAAATTATCAAATTTTGTATAGGGCACGTGCCTAGGTACTAATACACGTACGTCCACCCCTGGCAATAAGCCGTGGCAGTGAAAGACGCGTTTTATATATACTTCTTCTAAAGATTTAGAAAGAGGATCTTTTAGGCTAAATTGACTTGTTACCTTTGCAGATGGAGCAACGTTGTTGTGGATTCCATGAAGATCAACATTCATTAAATAAACCCTATAATTAGTTAACATGATAACCTAATCAGACTGCTTCATCGCTAGTATCTTATTTTTGATCATAGCGTTCCATCTTTTGGATGTCCATCGTAATCGTGCCAAAGAAATGAACGGAACCCTAGAGAGTATCTCCACTACCAATTCTTCCGGAAGATACATTGTGCTTGAAGAAAGTGACTAGGGCTTTCAAAAATATTAGGGTTGAGTAGAAAATGAAGACGGCGAGAGGTCTTAAGACTTAAAAACATATTCAGATGGATTCATATGCTTCTATTTATGGGCTTCGTCCTAAATTCAGCTGACTTTGGGCTTTTGATCTTGTGGACCTGTTGATATACCATTGTAGACCTAGACTGGTAGTCCATAGCTACACTTTTTAATGGCCATTTTGTATTAATTAGCCACATTCATCTGTTGTTGTTATTCACATATTCGGCTCTTTTTTTTTAATAGTGGTTATAACATATGGCTACAGAAAAAAAACAAATTTAAACAGCATGTTTGTAGTAAATATATCTTCCTTCAAACATGTATTGTACGCAGATCAGGTCCTAGGTAAAAAACCCATCAAGCATGTGTTTGTAGCCGCTGAGTTTAATTTTTTTTTGAGGGTTCGTTTTTCAAAAGATTCATTGGTTCATATGGTTTACTAAATTGATCAAAAAATAAGCTTGGTAGAACCGTAGAAGTGGAGTAGTAATTGATCAAAAAATAAAATCATAATAAAGGAAATATAGTAGTTTCTCCCATATTTTCTTTTTTTCACACAAATTATTTATTTATTTTCTCTTTTGTCAAAGATCACAAATAATTTTATTTAAAAGTAACAATTGGCAAAAAATAAAACAGGACTAATTTGCTGGCATTCTGCCACTCCTTCTACCTCTCTCGTTGCCGGCATTCTTCATCCTTAAATGTACATCGTCGTTCTGTAATGGATGTTTGCATTCTTCTGTTTCAATATCTCTCACTTGGGTTTCTTTCTGTTTTGTCAATCGCATTTCATCTATTTGTTTTGGTCCACGGTAAAAACATTTGAACAAAAGGCAAAAAAAAATCCTTAAAAAAATTTCATCTATTTGTTTTGGTCTTATAAATTTCAGGGCCGACTTGTATATACGTAATATATTCTGACGAACTGGTTACTTTCTTTTCCAGGGATATATCAAACTCGGATGGTCAATTGGTCATGAACGTGCAATGATATACGTTTTCAATCGTTAAGCTAGTCACTAGAACAATTCAGTAACACTTATAACATTTCTTTTTCTTTTTTTCTAATAAATTTCTGCAATCATGCAAAGCTTTTCACAAAGATAAAGCATCAAAGGGGAAAACAAAAAGTTGTCATTCTTTTCAATTTCTCATTCATCCATTTGCGCATGATACCAAAATTTGTGTTTCTAACCTTATCCTAAACATTATAATATTTAACCATGTTTGTCTTGTTTCTTACTAACAGACTTCCTATACAATTGATTCAATATTCAAGTTACTTCATAGAAAAAAAAATGGTATATAGATTTTATGCTACTTCAAAGCCAACATTATTATCTATCTAGCTTAATTGTTTTTTTTTTTTTTTTTGTTGAACAGCATCTGAAACAAATAGCTGATGAAACATCAATGCCAAGAATAAAGCCAAGACTCCATAATCTAGAGAGAGAAATATCGTTGCAAACTTTTGTCATTTTATCTTTTTTTTTTTTTTTTAATTCATAAAACATCTTACTTTCTGTTTCACATCACATGCCATCATTGTAAAATAATTGTGATGAAATAGTTTTGGTTTGGTTTAGTTGGAGTGTAGTGGAAGACTACGGGACCCCATATTTTCCCTAACATTTTTCAAATTGACTGGTGAAAGCTACACTACAAAGCATATAAAATATGTCCTTTTATTGACGACAAAAATAATGTCCTTTAGCTAGTGTAGAGAAAAACTTTATCTTTGCTTCTAAATTCATTTTACGACTATCGCTCCTCTTTAATAGGTCAAATAATTAATTATAATTACCTTAAATTTAATTCTTTAAGTAACATCTTTGTGGCTCCGTGGTAGTTGAAATTTCTTCTTAGAATAATCATCCGATGGCCTCAATATTTTTGAGTGTGGACGGTTTTTTCAAAGTGCAAAATCAAACAACTTTAAAGTGACTTGATTGAATGATTGTAATGAAAATTGGTGGACAGAAAAAAAATATATCTTTTAAAAATAAATGGAAGATACATGGTGGAAAAAAAATAGGCGTAGCTTTGGAGGTAAAAGTAAAAATAAAAGCATGGATAAAAAAGAAAAGTAAGGATAAAAAAGATTGTCTAAAAATGGGAGATCACGATATGGGACCAATCTTTAAGCTCTTCATGCCTTTCGCTAAATGTTGAAGCAAAATATGACTTATCGATATCACCCATTTGGTGGCCTCATCCATACAACAATCTTTTATCTTTACATATGTGCACGCTTGCATACATATATGATATATCTATGTTTAACTATATATATAATCCTGATTTACTATATAACTATTTGTTAAAATTAAGATCTAAATTTATCTTCATCGATAACAGTTTTTTTTTTTTTTTTTTAATAAAGGCATAACAGTTTTTCTTATGAAACTACAAATTTATCCTATCATAACCTAGACAACGTATCTAGCTAGCTACTACCAAACCTTTCTTAAATCTCATTCTCTTACAGAGATAACTATATATATCTTCTTATTATTATGTCAAAAATATTCTTTATATATGATAACTAGGGGAGGTCCCCGCGCCCAGCGCGGGGTTGTATGTTGATTAAGACCAGAATTAATAATTAATATTTAGGGTTATCAAGTTAGGGATATTTATTGAATTAATTTTGTCAAGAGTCTAATTTTTATAACGACATTAATATAGAATTATGGTAAAACGCTATAACTTTTGATATATATTATTAGTAATCAACAATTAATAGTGTTTTTGAATCACAAACAATTATTAATGTTTATATCTTGATATATATAATAGAATTAAATATAAAAAATCTATATATTTAAA